CCAATTGAAAGAACTTCAGTTAAGAACACTGTACTGGTCTGGGGAACCCAGTTGAACAAAAAACTGGTGGAATAGGTAAAGCAGGGCTAAGTTAACGAATTCACTCTCAATCATACGTGTTGAGCTAAGGCTTTGCCTTTTGGTCACCAGAAAGCATATGATTTCTAGTGATGTTCTCGTTCAGCGATGGGGTTTATAGGTGAGGATTTGCAATGATATGACCTGGGTTGTTACATTTGGGAGGAGTTGGTTATTTTGGTGTTCAAGGGGTGAGGGAACACACTTTCTAGCAGGGTTGGCCTGGCGGGGCTCTGGAGACGTGCCAGTTGGAGTGTTCTGAGTTTGATGATGGTGGCTGCGAGAGTCACCTTCAAATGTCTGCTGGGATTTGAGTTGGCAGCTATCTTGTGAGTAGGGTTTGTGTCTCTGTGTTCTTTTTTTTTTAATATGATTATTGTTTCGATTAGTTATTTTCTTTTTTTTTTTTTGGTTGAGATTTTTGGTTAGGAACTTTTAGGTATGATATTATTTGATATATGACAGAGTAGGTTTAATTTGTTTATCTAGGGATTTGAGAGTAAAGCCTACACATTTATCTATAGGATTTCTTAGATATCACACCTAAAAATTTTTAAGCATTACTTTCAAGAGGTTGCTTGCATCAACAAACAAAAGGGTTGAAGAAATTCACAAGGAACTTTTAGTTGGCCTTCTTTCACAAGATTACAAAAAGAATTATAATAATTATTAACTACCATCTCTCAAACAAGATTAAATTAAGAGATACTAATTCTAGTAACAATATAAAAACTACATACTCAAAAAAATAAAATTAGGTTACTAAAATTATAAAAATAAACTCCTAAATAGTATAATAGTTTTATATTTATAAGAATTATGATTTCTAATTTATTTTATGCAGTCTAAATCTAATTCAGTTTGTATTGTAGGATATTTATGCATTTATTTATACATTGGGATTCATATGAATAGTATGGGGATACTAGTTTATCTGTTTATAAGATATAAAATATTAGAAATTTTTACAGGAAAGAGCAAGAAATGTTGGGTGCTAATTCATTGGTTGGATTGCAAGACCACTTGAAGTTGGCAAGAGAGTACGCACTTGAAGGATTGTACGATACTTCAATTATCTTCTTTGATGGGGCCATTGCCCAGATCAACAAGTACCTTTCTTAAATTGGCTACCTCTTTTATTTTTCAAATAAGCTAGATTTGTAAGTTATGTTTCTCATGGATGAATGATTATATTAATTTTTAGTTTTAAAAAATATTACTTTAATTAGACATTTAACAGAAATACAAAACACGTGTTTCAAGAGACTAACTGTTCTTTTTAAATTTTCACATTGAGTTTGTTGATTCTATGTAAATTAAGTGAACTCAACTCTATGTTTGGGAATCTAAGAAAGAAACAAAGTATGGGGGTTCTAAAGTAAGGTAGATACAAATTATGCAAAGAAGGGATTATAATAAACTTTATTTATAGTAAAGAAGGTTAAAAAGATGTTTTTAAGTTTATCTTGTTTGGTTGAAGGGGTTAAAGGTAGAAATTGCTTAAATATGATTCTAAATATACTTTCATATTAAAACGTTATGGTGTATATCCTGACAAAAATGAGTAATTAAGTAATTTTACCGAAAATATAATGTTTTCTTTGGTAAAGAGAAGAATATAAGCTACATGAATTGTGAAATCCTCCTAATTGCCCCAATTTGGGGGATTCAATAATTGAATCCTAAATGGACAAAGCATGTGTTCAATAAATGACCATTTTATTCTCAAGTTTCTTGAAATATTGTCGATTGAGGTTATCATTAAACCCTACTTATTCTCTTTTACTTTGATAATCTCCCAGGCACACCTAGGGTTCACGATTTATTATAGTTATATCTTTTGCTTGTTCTTGCTGAAGCATGATCCAAGAGAGAAAAAATGAAGCTTAGGTGGATTAGTAATGGTCTTTATATGTATGTTTCAAAGACTAATTTTTAAGTGGTTATCAAGTTCAATTACACGTTAACTACAAAAGTCTTTGTATGATCTTTATTAAAGAAGGACCTGAATTGTAGTTATTTTAGGTCAATACTGTTACGTCATAACATTATTAGTGATGTGGATTTTGGGAAAGTCAAACATCGTTGCTCTCATTCTTACTCCATTCTTAGGACTATATAGAGAGAAAAGGAATAGAAGAGTTTTTGAGGCTCATGTTTCTAGCTTTTCTAAAATTAGTGATCTTTGGTTCCAGACCTTACATATTTTGCTTAAAGGTCATCCTCTCCTCAGTGGAGAAGATTTAGGGACCCTTGCTGCTTTGGTTCTTTCAAAGGCAAACAAAAAAATGGTGGATCACCCTCTAATGCATCTCCCTCTCTTTCACGAAATGTTAACATCTTTGTAAATTTTTTGTACATGGGCGATACTCCCGTTGTGGTACTTTGTTAATATATACATTATTTTTTTATTTTGTTAAAAAAGACCTGGACTGAGGCTAACTGATGCTAGATATTTTGTGTTGGTTTTTAAAGATTCAAAGTGGATCATATTTCGATATTTAAAATTTTCAAGGATGGATCTATGCTTTTTTCTAGAAGAAAAGAAGGCTCAACTTTTTAATTATTACTTATAATTTCATTAGGTTATAAACAGTATGTTCTTCTAGGTACATGTCTAATTTAGAAAAACAATGGTTTGACATCCAATTACCAAGTTGATGAGTTTCAAACTATGTTCCTAAAATTAGGCACCTAAATTCACTTGATGATCCTTTAATTCGCACGAAGTGGATGAATGTCAAGAAAGCTATATCAGAGGAGACTGAAGTTGTGAAGCAATTGGATTCTGAGAGAAGGGCATTTAAAGAAGCACCTACCGGGCGTCGTGCTGCTTCTCCACCCATTAATGCTAAATCATCATTTGTCTTTCAACCACTAGATGAGTACCCCACTTCATCTGGTGCTCCTGTGGATGATCCTGATGTGTGGAGGCCCCCTAGTCGGGATACTACAACTAGGAGATCAACAAGAGCTGGGCAAGTGGGTATGAGAAAATCACCCCAAGATGGGACTTGGGCTCGTGGTTCTTCAAGATCTGGTACAGCTGGACGTGGGCCAAGGACTGGTAATTCAGGTAAAAGTAGCACAGGTGTTCGATCATCAAATACTGGAAGGAGGGGAACAGGTTCTGAGAAGAGCTCCAAGGCAGATTCAGTGGTGAGTTTTAGTTGACTTAAAAATCATGGAATTATCCGTTTACTTTACAGTTTTACAGTTTGAAATTTCAGTATAAGACTTAGTTTTTTAATTTGTTTTCTTGGACAAGTTATAATTTTATCATCTGTAGTTTAGTCTAATTGCGGTTCGATATCATAGTTTTTTGGTTGTTATACATAAAACCATTAGTTTCTATACTACTACCTTTTAAATTTCTATGTTCTGTAACAAATTCTGATTTGTTTAGCCGTAAGTTTCTTATATTCTTGTTTAAAAGCACAAACAAGTGCAAGTTCCCTAAAGAACTAAAAGATTTAAGTAAAATGACAAAAAAATCAAATTAAGAAGTAGTGAAATTTGCCCTCCAAAAAACAAATCTTAGGCATTGGACTGCAAGTAGATGAAACCATATGTGGTGCAAATTGTACTTGGTTGATAGAATTTCTGATGCTATTTGCCGTTGATTAATTAACTTTTTATGATATTTTGTTGGATGTTGTAAGGATTCCTTAATAGTTTTATTGACTGGCAATGATGGCATTTCAGAGTTCTCATGGTTTCCTTTCTGATAACAAAGAGAAGTTATGAGCAAAGGATTTGGAATTTCATTTTGATTAGAAATATGTGATTGTAGTTGCACTTTGTTGTATTTCTTGTATTTATTTTCTTTTTCTTTTTCATTAATTTAAGTTTCTCTTTTTTGCGAATATATTTCCATGGATAATTAGAATGTCGACACTGAAGATGGGAAGGCAAAGAAGCCACAGTATGAAGGACCTGATCCAGACTTGGCTGCGATGCTTGAAAGGGATGTCCTGGAAACAAGTCCTGGAGTACGGTGGGATGATGTTGCAGGTTTGAGTGAAGCCAAAAGACTTTTAGAGGAGGCTGTGGTTCTTCCTTTATGGATGCCGGAATATTTTCAGGTATTTTTTAGCAGCTAAAATAATTTCTTACATGGTGGCTAAAACTAAATTAATGTAAACAATGTGAACATTTTAGATTATTAGTTTTTTGGTTATGGGACTAGGTCAGCTTGATTGCCTCTGTAACAACTTTTAAAGATCATATTTCAATTTTAGCAAAAAAAAAAAGAAATTATCCTTTGAAAAGATTTTCTAAAAGGATTTTATGGAAGCAATCTTTTTATCAAGCAAACATTTTAAGAGTTATTTCAGCCAGTTTTGTTGTATGAATCTTTATAGTAGTGAACTTACTAGCAGTCCATTTCATTTGGTTCTCTAAATGCTCTGAAATGTCCTAACAGGTGTGAAACTGTTTGAAGTTTTATCTAGACTGCTTAACACTTAATAGCCTCTTGGTTATCTGAAAAGGAGCTGTCAGTTTTGCGTGTGTTTTCATCAGATGAAAGAATGTTGGAATGTTTATGGCTTGTGGAAAATATTGTTAATTACGTAAACACATGGTAGAGAAATATGTTTAGAGAAAGGGTTTACATTTCCTTTTTCTTCTTGCTGATAAAACAAATGTTCCCATAGGAAACAAAGTTTTTTATTGGGTTTGATTCTGTGGTTGTGTTAAAAACTTGTTTGTTACTTGATAGATGTGGAATTATGCTGACATGTGAGCGCTTGGTAGTTATTTTTTTTTTAAAAAAGTGAGCTCTCAGTAGGATAAACATTTTGCTCGCAGGGAATTCGGAGACCTTGGAAAGGTGTTCTTATGTTTGGCCCTCCTGGGACTGGTAAAACACTTCTGGCTAAGGCGGTTGCTACTGAGTGTGGTACTACATTTTTTAATGTATCTTCCGCCACATTAGCCTCAAAATGGCGTGGGGAGAGCGAGCGCATGGTGCGGTGCCTATTTGATCTTGCCAGAGCTTATGCACCTAGTACAATTTTTATTGACGAGATTGATTCTCTTTGCAATGCAAGAGGGTGAGTTCCTAATATGTTCTTCTTGAGGTCTGCAATTTATCTCTTCATATTTTGTGGTTTTAAATTAGAGAGGGTTTTCTACATCTCTACCCAGCATAATTTATTAAAATCAGCATTTGGCTATTTTGCTTCTAATGTGTTTGTCTGTTTCATCCCCAAGTTATTGGTTTTCAGATGGTACATGTTTATAGTTTCTACCTATTTCTATAGTGATTCTTTGAACTCTCTCCTTAAAGAAAAAGATGCTTTGAACTCTTTCTACTCTTTTCCCTATTTTTCTCTGTTTGATTTCAAGAAAATGTGTCTCACCGGCAAAATTTTGATGTTAGTACTTCTGTTCTTTTTTCCTCTCTGCTGTTCTGAAATTTAAAGATGAGCTATTTACTTTTTTCTAGGGCTTCCGGAGAGCATGAATCATCTAGAAGGGTGAAGTCTGAACTTCTAGTTCAGGTAGATGGAGTAAACAATACTGCCACAAATGAAGATGGTAGCCGGAAAATAGTAATGGTATTAGCAGCAACTAACTTTCCATGGGACATAGATGAGGCTCTCAGGTTTGTTAATAACTGTAATATGTCTTTTTTATGCTCGTCGTATTGAAAAACTGTTGTGCTTGCAAGCTCTTGTTATTAGTGCTTTGTTCTGATAACTGTATTGTAAACTAATGCAATGCAGGAGGAGACTGGAAAAACGTATATATATTCCTCTTCCTAATTTTGAGAGTCGTAAGGAGCTTATTCGGATAAATTTAAAAACAGTCGAGGTAAAAATTAATCTCCCAAGTCAATGAACAGTTTTATTCATCGTAATCTTGTACGATATTGATTTTCCCTAACCATATTGGTTTATTTTATTTTATGCACATTATTATGTTGCATTTGGTTCAAGCGTATTCTATTCCTTTTTTTTTTTCCTTTTTTTTTCTAGTTTCTATATCATTTATATTATTATCTAATTTTTATTGTATGAAATTGAAATTTGAACACTCAATCTAATTTTTATTGTATGAAATTTGAAATTGAAAATGCAAACTTAATTTTTGTAATTGATTCAGTGTATTTTAAGATTTATACTTATAGTTTGCATTTTAGTTTTAGTTGAATTAGTTATCTTGCCTTAGAACCTTGAGCAACACTTTACATGGAGATGATACTTGTTGCCAAAATATAATTAATCCATACATTCAGTACATTCTGTTGGCATGACAGGGATGAGAAGATTTAAATATGGAACAAAAAGTGAGTTAGATCAATCAACACACTACTGCATTATATTTTCTTAAACCCATAGGAATTTCTTTTAAAAGTTTTAAATGTAATACAACCAATAATTTGGGATTTCTTGGCTATTTGTTAATTGATTTTTTTTTTTTAATTTCAGGTGGCTGCTGATGTGGATATTGATGAAGTGGCTCGACGAACGGAGGGCTATAGTGGAGATGATCTCACCAATGTTTGCCGTGATGCTTCCTTGAATGGCATGAGGCGTAAAATAGCCGGAAAAACACGTGATGAGATTAAGAACATGTCCAAGGATGAAATTTCTAAGGACCCTGTTGCCATGTGCGACTTTGAAGAAGCTCTAGTGAAGGTCCAACGAAGTGTTTCTGCTGCTGATATTGAGCGGCATGAGAAGTGGTTTTCAGAGTTCGGGTCAGCTTGATCAAGATCGAAAAAAGTCTCATCAGCCTTGAGGCCTGAGGGCACATTGTTCTATGTGCTGAGTGATTGTTTCTTCTCTTCTTTTCGGTACCTTTCCCTCGAGTTGGTTATCCCTGCTTGCAATGATCTCTAGTATGGAAAATATTCATATTGTTGTGCTATTTTGTATCTATAATCTCACTCCATACAGTTCCATCTGCCAGACTATGATCATTAGTATGACTTGCATCGTTCATAGTATTTTATGTACCTACACAAAGGAGAATCCAAACATGCGATGATAAAAAAAAAATGAAATTATGATGCTTGCCCCACCACTGAGCCAAATAATGATAGGTTTGTAATTGGTTTATGCCTGAGAATATTTGTAGCAAGATTAAGACTCTCTTTGACAATATTGAAGAAAAATGATTCTTTTACAGTTTCTTATTATAGTGAAAAAATTTGTTCTTGTCCTAAAATATATTTATGTCTAGAGGCGTTTTATGGGACTTAACTCATATTTTGGAGTAGTTAAGTTCTAAGTAAGCTGCTGTAGTTTACCTTTGCATAAACTAATATAGTTTTGTTGATTTGCAAGTTTATGAGTTCCTTTCTGAATGAAAAATGTATCAGAATTTATGGTTGTCTGAGTTGTAAGAGTTATTTAAGCACTATGCTAATTATTTGAGATGGTTTGATATGTGTGTGATAATCTGGAACAACTGGAGGATTACATACATCAATCTATATGCGGATAGAGGATTTAAATAGGAGCATCAATATGATTTATTTTGAGATTACGAGTGAAGGTAGTTGATATGTAATACATATGTGTGTGTGTGTGTGTGCATAAATATATATGTATGTGATGCTTGGATGTTGCTTATCTACTGTACAATTGTTCAGAAATTAAGTAATAGTGTTATCTTTGAACAACAAAGTAGATTAATGATGATCTTGATGCTTCAATGTAAATAATCATCTAAGCTGAGGGTGCTCTTGAACGATTGCCAAATGATTTTATGTTATGTTTGCTTGTGTTCATAGGTTTATACCTACTGTGATTTGCATTTGAACAAAATGAGCAAAGGTATATTAGGAAACAAGTAAATGATCTTAATAAGAGGTTGCAAACCTCTTTGATTTATTTGAATGTATATTTTCTCTATAGCTGCGTGGAGTTAGTCATTGTGGTAAAGAAAGTTAGATTTGGTGGGAAGTTCATTTCTTCTGTTTCAAACCCATATCTGTTGCTAAACTTTTCACCACCTCCATTTTTGGATTTGGTGGGAAGTTCATTTCTTCTGTTTCAAACCCATATCTGTTGCTAAACTTTTCACCACCTCCATTTTAGGATTTGGTGGGAAGTTCATTTCTTCTGTTACAAACCCATGTCTGTTGCAAAACTTTTTACCACCTCCATTGTATCACGTTTATCATGTCAAAAAACATAAGAAGAAAAGAATGAAAGACATAAAAGGGGGGAGAGTGAGTTCTAAAGAATACCCAAAAATTAATATGTTCATTTGCTGTATTTGTGTATTTACCTTATGTTTTCAACAGTGATTTACTTCATTTTTATCAATTAGGATTTTAATTTTCCTAATTTAAAGTTCTTTTATAATTAAGGTATAGTAACACTTTTAAATTCACAGTATAAATAAATTACAATAGTCTCAGTAAAAAAAAAAAAAAAAAAAAAGAAAAGGAGAAAGAACTAACCCAGGATGTGGCCCAGTATAGAGTCAAAGCTTTCAGGCGTTTCTTTTCCTTTCCTATCTATTAGACTGGGCTGGCCCGGGCCGGCCCGAATTTTTAGGCTTATGCATTCAAGGACAAAAAACGACGCCGTTAGTTCTTTAAATTAGGAATTCTTAGGGCTTTCTGAGGAATCCAGATTGAAGGAAGAAGAGAGGATGTGGGAGCTTCATAGCAGACTTTCGGTTGAAGAGAAGAACAGGAAGACGTTAGCCCGAGGTTTGTGAGAAAAGGGATTTGCGAAGAAATCTCTAACCTCTCTCGCGTGAACCCTCTTGCACCGAAGAGGAAGAAAGAGAACGTAGCATTGGACGACTTCGAAGCTGAAAAAAGAAGATACATCAACAAGACGAGGATTGGAAGAGGTTGAAATACCTTTATAATTTCCAACGTTATTAGTTTTAGTATTTCTTAGTTTTATTCGATCAAGTAAAGGTTTTTTAGAAAGCATTATAAATATTTCTGCAATTGTTCTTCTAGAGACAGAATTCGGATATTCAAGGTTGCTTAGACGTCTATTTTTTTATCCCCACCTTAAATAGTCATATTAACCCTAATTTTGTGCTATATCATGTTGACTATCACTAAAAACTCTTCCACCTGAATATATTGTCATCATGCGTCAAGTAGATGTAAGTTCATTTTTATATCGAGTGGATCTCAAGAGAAAAACAAATTAGTTCGGCTCATATGTTAGCATCATTCTGCATCAGGGCTGTACTAATGTATCAAAATTTGAATTTCAGATGGCATTGAGAGGTGTCTGGCAGCTGCAAAAGCTCATTGTTAGCTATTGTGATTGGGGGGGAAGTAGTAGAGGCATCAGGTATGAGTTAACATCATTGTCCTATGTGATTTTTAATTTGTGATTGATTTGCATATATTCCTATAATATGACACGGAATCCTGATGATTTTGAATTTGAAGCACATTTTCCAGATAATGTACTATATCTCTTATTTGATTTGCCCTTGTCGATATTAATGTATAATCCGTAATTTTTCTTTTTGTTCATTGAAATTTGTTTTTATCTTTTCCTCTTTCCATTTTGAGTATATGTTATTCTTTTTTTTTCTTCTTGAAATTGGACTTGTAAATCAATGTTGATGGGAGGGAATCAAAGATTTTATTTTTGATCTTGAGGAGTATCTTTTGATGATGAAGTATCAATTAACTCCTGTACATTCAACAAAATATTTTTTGGTCATGGTGTTTGAGCACAAAAGTACTGTTTCTCGATCCAAGGGACATCTTAGTCTCTCTTTTCTTCTTAATATTCCTTTGAAGAAGTGGATCATGTTGAATGGGAAGAAACATATTCTATTTGATCTCAAAGTCCTGATATAGCACCTCTAATCATGGATGTCAGATCAAGAATAGCATAAGTTGTAATCCATGTTCCACAGAATTATCTCAAAAAAAAAAATGTTCCACAGAGCCAATGAAGCACCATATCTCATTTCATCATGGTTTTCTTCCAATGCAATGGGTATTGGTGGCAGGTGCTTTGAAGAACTTTTGACTTGTTACCTCTGGTGACAATGCCCTGCTACTAAGAACTTAATAGAAATTTTCCAAATCAAAAGATGGATTCTAAACCCTTTTGTTAGAGTATCCCAGAATATCTATCCTAAGACTTAGATTTTTATATGTAAAAAATAAGAGATTTCTATGACTATCATTGCACTGGCTTTTACAGTAACTTTCGTATGGGTATGGGGAAAACTGTAACATTTGCATTAGAAGGTCAGCAAAAGCTGATTGTTGGGAGGTTGGTGGTTAGAGATAATCAGTAATATTCTGTCGATGATTCATCTTTTGAAGATGTTTAATGCTCTTTCTTATGCTCTTATCCATCTCCATCTAGTGGGAGAAAGTATTATTATTTCCAAGAGTGGGTAGTGATGGAGAGATCGGTTGGCAGAGGCTTGTGTCTTAGGAAGTTGGCGTAGAGACAATTGGTAATGTACTTTGGATGATTCCATAGCTTGAGTCTTAGGAGGTTGGCTTTAACCTGTTATCTTGAAAATAATAAATTGTTTCCCCTGTTGGATGGAAAATGCCAGAGGTAAAAGATGCTTTATGGACATTGTTGGCTTTCAAGGGTATAGTTGGAACAAGTTTTTGAAAAAGAAATAAAAATTGAATTACTATCTTTGGATGTTTCTTTGTGATTTGTGCAGTATGCTATATCTCTGTGCTGGTTGTCACTGATGTTCGCAAGCGGACAATAGTTACCATAAGCTGGACACAAATCTTTCAAGTTCATCAGTTTTTTTTTGAGATAAAAAGTATAAACAATAGTATTGCAAGCGCACCAAGGTGGTGCAACTCGTATTCAAAATTATTTACAGTTCAGTAATGCTATCATCTTTCAAGTTCATCAGTATATTGTTGATGTACAATATGGTATGAATCTGGCAGGGCATTTATGGAATCACATTTGCCAACACTTAAAGAAAACAATCCTCAGCTAGAGGTGGTTACTGAACTCATTCGAGGACAGCATCCTCATTTGAAAGGCTTTTACAGTAAGTACAATTTCCCTCTTTTTTCATCGTTGGATGTCTGCAAGCCTCCTTATCTGAAGGATCTTCCGTGCTAATTATCAGAGAACAAAAATGAGCGTGTGGTATGCGTGAAAAATATGACTCCTGATGAGGTCCTTCTGAATGCAACAAGGCTCCGGAATGCACTGGGGCGGAAAGTGGTAAAATTGAAGACAAGACATGTAACTAAACACCCTAGCGTGCAAGGCACGTGGAGCACGGACGTGAAATTTTGAGGCAAGGCAAATGAGTTTCCCTTCCTTTTTCTTAATGGCTCATTTGACTCAGAATCTGAAACTTTAGTCTTCGTAATTGATTGGAGCTCTTCAAATTTCTGCGAATTGCATACTAGGGTTAGTATCTTCTAAGATACTTATTTTGGGTGCTTTGCCTGTCTTGTTTCTGGGAATACTGGGGTTATCCCTTCTGGTCAGATTCCATTAATATAAAGTCATGACCTTCCCACACTTAGAAGCCTGTGGATACAAAACAGCAGCTTGATAAATTCCTTGGACGAACTTTGCTGTTTTCTGCTTCCTCATGCTGTATCTTATAAAATTAACTCAAATTGTAAATTACATGTGCATCTTTGAGTTGAATTAAAAAAATTTAAACCGTCATCTAATTGATTAGCGCACAGGATTTTAATATGGTAACTTACGCATGATTAATGAATAAAAGGGGGTTAGTTTTGTGAAAGAAGTTATTAAAAGGCGTGAGATGTGTGAATATTAACTGTGTTATGTTAATTAATATTTACATGAGGGAATTTTCTAATGCTTCGTATAGTTTTGTTCTTGTTGTAGTTGTATTGAAAATCCTCTGGTTTGCAGATGTTATTATAATGCCTCAGAGAGATATGGTAGATTAAAACCTGTTAGGATACTAAGATATGGTGGATTAACCATGCTTGGGAGCATTTTCATTTGCTTTATGGATTGGAATTTCTAAGTTGCAAGCTGGGTCTTATATGAACATGACTGTCTGATTTAAAGATGAGATTTATAGATTTGTAAGACAAGACAAAGATAAGAGTTATATGGGATATAACAGATTTAAGTTGATGAAAAAAAAAAGAGTTAAAACACTGAGAGATTCAGAGTTAAATAGATTCAATCTAAAACATACTTCCCATAATCATCTTTGTTTCGACATACCAATATGCTAGAACAACATAGAGATGTTGATTTAGTTCGAATTGAAATAAAAGAACACTCGTGCTATATGTAGTGTTTGTTGTTTGTTCTAATGCTAAATAATTAAACAAAGTAAGTTATCTTAACATTTAAATTGATTGGAAATTATTAAAACGACAATCAATCCGACACGAACCTGCTTTATTTTGTTGTGGAATTAAGTAATTGACCGATCAAATAAGTCATCAACCAAGATTCCAAAGCTAGATTTTGACATTTTATTATGTTAGCTAATTGATTTTAGCAAATTATGTTGATAGTTGGAACTGAGACTGCTAATTAATTTAGTTGTTTATTTAAGACCAATTAATTATAAAATTTCAAGTAGTTGTTACTAAACTCTGGAGAAGATTAAGTTGTGCACGAAGGTTTAAGACTTTCCAGAATCTGAAACATATACATATATTATTCATTAGGGGGGTTTGTATTTGTGATACATTATATATATATATATGTGTGTGTGTATACATAAAGTCGGCATTTGGGTTTCCTACACTTCTCTATTCTACGTCATCTTCTCTAATATATTGCTTGCATTTTCATTCAAAAACGAAGGAACATGTGACATAGGTATCAACTTTGGAATCGGTGGGAACAGACGAAGAATCAAGAAGGTCTCTGGTAAATGCAGGATATTAATAATAATAATAAAAAAGCCATGGCCGCCCACTGAGCTTGCAGTTCTGTCCGTCTGTATTTCATGTGATTGGTAAATAAAAACGGATCGGAAGAACAAATTTTTTTTGAAAAGAATCTTACCAAGTGTCATGAACTATTCATCGCTCGCTAATATAATTAAAAAACAATTCACTAAAAATATACCCCTTCTGATTCTTTTGTTTGGAAAAATTTGTGTTGGAACTCTCAAAACATTAAAATGAGGAAACACGAAATGACAGTCGGAGACCAGTTAGTGGATACCTAGCTTCATCACTGATATACTTATAAAAACTTACCAGAATATTAATGCATGACAGATAATATATGTATATATATTTTGGGAAAAATAAGATAACTATATATATATATATATATATATATGTATACACATTTCCAGGGGTTAAATCTTTAAGTTGCGACGCAATGGAGGCAGCTGTAGGATCTTTATAGAGAGTCAGATTCATCCTTGGTAAGTGTAATCAAATGAGAGAATACGAGCGGTTATTATCATTATTATTGTTATATATATATATATACACACACACACAGAGATAAACACACAAAATACTCAGTTTAGCTGGCACATGATCAGTTGCTCAATACAATGAACCATTCGTTTTGCGGCACAAGAAGACATATTGGCGGGGAAGAGCATCACTGCAATATTTTGCGTATGAAATGCGAGAACCAAGAGAGAAGATGCAAAAAGGGACGCCAACAGCTGCATGAAATTTGAACCCAGGGCTTTAAAATTTTGAAGGCGCAAATCTTTAGGCCACTGAATATATATATATAAAATATTTGTTCATTAAAATCGTAAATAATTAATTATGATATTTAAATCAAACACAATGTTTTGTTTTCTTGTTACTGGAGAATGGTTAGTAACCACTTCAATTGATTTGCATATGGAAGTTTCCTCATCTTGAAGCATACAAAATTTATTTACGAAGGGCAAGTAGTAAATTGTTAATAAAAAAAACTACATATTTACATATTCAAGAACTTGACCCAAAAATCCAAGTAGAAAGGTCTGGTATAAAATATCAGGAATGAACAAATCATCCTTCTCATTTCATAAAACGATGGCATTGATAACAACATTTTTGACACTTAGTGATATAATTGCTATTAAAAAAAATCCTCCTGAAATTTGTTTTGTCCATGGAAAGGCATGTGAGGTCGGAATATTTAGCTTGTTAGTATACATATATATATATATATATATATATGGGAGCTCTTAATACCATAAAACATATTGAGAATGATTTGAAATTTCTACCCTACACTTTCCATTATATTGATGATTAAATATATATATATATATATAGTAGTCTTACAGTTCTGTCCAAATCAACAGCAAAAATGAAATGATTTTAGGATGAATGCTTGATTTAATTTCCAATGAAGGTCAACTTGGAACCCTATAATGGTGCACGACATCATATTGGTGTAGATAATTTGGCAGATTGCATGGGCTGTCTTACACTCTTCTTCTTCCAATTGGGTCTCTCAAAATTATTGTTCATTGCAAGATGTCTCTTTTTCTTTTGGAGATGATTCTTTTTTTCTTTTTTAAGTTAGAAAGAAATGACAGAAAGTAAAAGTCAATTAGGAAATATCTATATAATGAAACATCTACTTGCATAAAAAACTTATATCGATTGAATATGCTATATATATATACATACATACATATATATACGTACATATACATACATATTATTGACTCCCATATTAAGTATCTACATATTACATACCATGCATTATGAGATATTCTTCATTGACTTTTATCCAATTTTAGGTTTACAAACTCCATTATCATGCTCCCTGTGGTTTTAGCATTGTTTGGTCTAAATTTAAGGTTGATTAGTGGATTTCCTGATTAATATATATATATATATATATAAGTGATTATGATGTGGGTATTTTTTTTTTCAGTCTAAATAAAGCTTATTACCTTAATGGCCAGACCGGGTGAGAATTAAGATGCATTTCAAATGTGAAAATTTTGGTAAATGTTTAACTTTTTGCTAAAAGTGATTTTCTCAAAAGCACCAACTAATTTGGTTGCCTAATTTGTAATTAGAGAACAATTAATGTGATTGTCAAAAATCATTTTATTATATATATATATATATATAATATTATTAAATAATTAATTGAATGATTATTTTAAAATTTTAAATTAATAAAAAATAATTTAGTTAATTATTTATATTTTAATTTAACAAGTTCTCTTACATTTACAAACCCAGGAAACATTGTGCAAAATTAGTTTTAATAACAAGATTCGAACATTAGCCTTTTAACTCTAAATTAAATTAAAAAGTTAATTAAACTGATTATCCCAAATTTTTCCATGAAAAGTGATTTTATTATATATTCTAGTATATATATATATATATATCCGATAGTATTTGATTGAATTGATTCTCTTAAAAAATTTAAACTAATAAAAAATAATTTTATAGCGACAAGTAAACTTGAATGGAAATAAATTATTAATTGAATGCGGAAACGAAATAAATAGTTAGAGTTTACATTCCTTACACAATAATTTAGATTACCCAATAGAAATACAAGAATGACTCTTTTAAAAAAAATAATGAAAATTCAAAGAAATAAATAAAAAATAAACAATTGGGTATCCTACTCGCAACTATCTTGTGGATCGGTCTCTGGATCTTAGTTTTCTTCATCTGAAATAGTTAATGAAAGAGTGAGTTACATTAATCCAGTAAAAATATCATGCTACTCATCGACACAGAAGTAAAGGTTGGTAAAAAATCATGAAAACAACTAATAGACCTCTTAATTTAAGTAAATTCGTTTATCATAAATAAAATTATTTACCGCATACTTATTGTAACGAGATTTTCAAAACCAACTATAAAGTCAATCATACAAACAATATCATAATCTCACATGCAATCAGTCGGCAACAATAACTTTCTCTTTTATTAGCCTACTAGTATCCATGGGGTCTATAGGGATGTCCCTACTACATGTGAACTATTTTATTTTACATTTTCAATTAACAGGCCGTTCTTATACCCCATCCAGTATGATCGCCAAAATACTATCCATCAATACCTCGTCCGATATGAGGGTGAAACGGACCGTCCTCATACCCCGTCCGGTATGAGTGCCAAAATACTAATTCTCGATACTCCGTCCGGTATGAGGCAATGTTTATGGTAAGGTTCTCTATATACCTGATCCGTCCACCATCTCCCAGGATATCCAGTAAGGCTACCGTTCATCCATTTACTTAATCAAATAATTTTTATTTATATTTAATTTTCAGTTTTCCAATTTAATTGTAATAACATAAAACAAGCAATACATGCATTTAAGAAACACAATTGCATTATTATACCAATTCCAGTATATTATCATACACTCAAAACTGTAAAATCAACCAATCAGTTAAACACGACAAATAGTGATAGATAACCGGTTTCGACTCAATTAGTAACCTTTAATTGTGAATTTTTTTAAACTATACAAAATACCGTATTATTATTAATTAAACTTCATTTCCGTAACATGGAATAAGGTGAGGGATTCTTACTCAAATTGGTGTCCTAACATTAAACTTTCAATTGCGCCTGTTGGCGATCCCCGAATTCCCTGAATTTTCCTTCAGGGATTAAAACATGCCCCAAGTACATACAAATATCCTAAAAAACTCAAAATCAGTGTTATAAACCCTTTTTGGCCAATACCGAAATTTCGGCACGGCGGCTTTGCTTCCCGTG